AAAAAAACTAGACACTTTGTAGCAGTTGAACATGATACAGGAATATGTATACGCAATATGAATTGCCCAAATCGCATGGATTACTTCTTTACAAAATGCAATTCTAAGACTGAGTGTAAGACGTTTTGCATTGCGATCATATGTGTCGCTCACCAAAATAAAACACAATGTTTAGAACACCTTAATAGCATACCTTGGCCATCAGTGAAGAGGAGGGATATTCCAGGAGGTTCCAGATCGTGGACGTCACCTTCTCGGCCTTTTGAAGCATCTGCATACCATTAGGGAAAACTGGAAGCTCCATGTCCAGTAATCTCATCGTCTTCTCCACGCCGTCATCTTTGTACAGAACCCGCCAACAACAACTGGAAACGAGGCCAGCTGATATATCCCAAAATTGTAACTCCTCACGAATCTGACGTCCACAAACAGTTTCCGGGAGATGCAGGACACCATTTCTGTAGAAATCCAGGATACATCCGAATACAGCTGGATTTCTGTCAAAGAAGAACTCCGTGTGCTCTCCTTTTATCTCATTGATTCTTTCGTGTAGCCGGCCAAGTTTCGAACTGGGGAGTCTTTGTAGTGTGGCCCAGGTAGTTGAGAATTTCGTCCCGCCTACGTTGAAATGTACCTGGTCGGCCATTGGTCCATTACAATCCTTATAGAAATAAAAACGTACATCTTAATTTAGAACAACTTTATTTAATTAGGCCCATGCCCTGGCCATTTTTTTTATCAATATTTGTTGGAATGTTATATTTCAGAACAGCAAGAATTTAGACACGTTACTAATCTTATTAAAATCAATAATGTTCATGAATATCTACCCGGGCCTGGTAGCCAATTTAGACGACAACAGACAAAGGAAATGACTCTTCTGTGAACTCATCTTTCAGAATGAGACAACATCTTCAATGTGATTTTATCAACGGTACAAATTCTCCGATGTGAATTTAATGATGGTACAAAATATTTCACGTGATTTTAATAATGATACAACATTTTACCGTGTGATTTTAATAATGATACAACATTTTACCGTGTGATTATATTAATGGTACAACATTTTACCGTGTGATTATATTAATGGTACAACATTTTACCGTGTGATTATATTAATGGTACAACATTTTACCGTGTGATTTTATTAATGATACAACATTTTACCGTGTGATTTTATTAATGGTACAACATTTTACCGTGTGATTTTATCAATGATACAAAACCCTCTATATTATTTGTCAGTTGTGGCGATCTATTCTTGAGATTGGTATGAACACGAGGTGGAAATAACGGACCTTTATACCCTTCTAATAAATACATAATGCGCAGGGCTATAATTTTGTCGCGCTGAACAAAACCCCGAAAAAGTCCAATGATCTAAATGTCACACACGCTGCCACAGAGGCATGCTAGGGGCCCAATGGAGGGATATCTCTACAGTACGTAGATATAACGTGTAACAGCTTCAAGTGTAAAACTAACACAACAACGGGAGGACGTGCTTACAAGTTAGCGATTGGTAGTAACCAAGACAAACTGTCAGGTTATTAATCCCACCTCAACAAACTGAACAGACCTTTGGCTTGACAAACTGGAACACCAATGTAAAATGACTGGATGAATTATTAGTTAGGTAGATAGCATTACAGGAAACAATGCTGAATGAAGAATTGCAATAACTGTTGATCTGACATTAAGTCTTCAGCCTCACTAAAAACTAAAGTCAGTGAGCTATAGGATAACCTGGTCCTACGTCCTCGAGATTCCAGGGGTGACGCACACTCATCGTCTATGCAGCTCTTGAAGATATTATGACACAATTGAAGGCACAACGTTGATTGGTTACAGGTATAACAAGCTGACCAATCGCTAGACTCGTACCTATCCTTTGAAGACTCCAAAGCCTGCCAATTTTACCGTTATGCCATCACGCGATTCTTTCAATCTACATCAAAGGATCAAACTAGTCCAATTGTATCGTCTACAAGGTAACGCATACTGAGCCTTCAGTTTTGTCATGACATATTCCAGAGGTACCGATAACGTATATAAGTGAGCGTAACCCCTGGAATTTCAAGGATAGTGGTCATCCTGTTATCACGGCATCTGGTAACATTGGAAAGTCGACATCATGAATGTTTTTCTTGATTCATAGCAACGCATCAAAGATATCACTAAACTAATACGCAACTAAACTAACATCATACAGTACCTTTGTATTGCTGTCCGTACCCATCGCTGTGCTGTCTACAGTAACAGTACAGTGTGACCTACTCTCTAGAAGTATCCCAATCGGATGCCATTTTTCTGTGCTTCCTATGGAAGCTATGTGTTGCAATAACCGCGATGTGAATACGATGATATATATGACTGATATATCACAATATTATTTAAATGTATATTGATCGTTATTCTGGTCTCCATGTTTAGTGATTTTTTGTTTAGAATTTGCCACAGCGTTGCCACGTATTTAAAAAATTCCGAATTCAAATCATAATGAAACTACTTCATAATGACTGGTAGAAGATATAGCATGTAGATTATCAACGAACTGAAGAAAGACTTTTTAAAGGCTTCATTATTGTTCGTTTTGTTTTGTTTCTTGTCGACACTGTGATACATTTTGTTTCGACGGTGTGTGATAAAATTGTGATCATTTCATTTGTCAAAACTGTGATATATTTTTTGTGCCTTACCCTGCCTTTTTGTGCCTTACCCTGCCTTTTTTGTGCCTTACCCTGCCTTTTTTGTGCCTTACCCTGCCTTTTTTGTGTCTTACCCTGCCTTTTTTGTGTCGTACCCTGCCTTTTTTGTGCCTTACCCTGCCTTTTTGTGCCTTACCCTGCCTTTTTTGTGCCTTACCCTGCCTTTTTTGTGTCTTACCCTGCCTTTTTTGTGTCGACGTTGCGAATGATCCCATGTCGTGGCTGTGATTTAGATTTTAACTGTCGACGTTTTTGGTAAATATTATTTGTCGACATTGTCTGTGGGTTTTTTTAAACCTCGATACTGTAGTTTACTGTGGTGTCGACGTTGTAATATTTTTGTGGCTGCGACACATTTTATCTATCGACGTTGTTGTGAATTGTATTTATCTACAGTGTTTAATATTTCATAGGTCGATACTGTTGTAATAGTTTATGTAACGACATTGATTTATTTTGCGTCGACCTTCTGGTATACGTTTGCCGACGCTATAATACATTTTGTTTCGAAGTTGTGATATATAGTATATATATAGGATATATCTGCCGACGTTGTGATATATAGTATATATATAGGATATATCTGCCGACGTTGTGATATTATTATTTGTCAACACTGTCAGTGGCGTAGCATACATGTGTGCTTGTATGTTCAAGTACATACTAAAAAGAACATTTCTTTTGTTATCATTTTTTTTCTTTCCTTTTATGTTTATATATATATGGACTGTTCGTATCAAATTTTAGTCTTTTAAAATAGTGTTGCTATGTTATGTCTATATGAACAACTATTTAGTGGCGGACAAAATTTAATATTATTCATATAAAACGTCTGGTTAATAATCACTCTAAAAGAAGTTCCGAGAACATGGGACTTTTCTTCTCGGACCCAGTAAAAACCCAATTCAGATACTCTCCCACTCCTCCGGCGTTACGAGCCTCGGAGGCTCGACCCTCTGTAAGCATACACTCCGAAATATTGTTTCCTACGCCACTGAATGTGGTATATTTTTTGTCGACGTTGCGAAATTGTTTTCATGTCGTGGCTGTGATTGATTTGATCTGTAAACGTTTTTGTAAATTTCATGTATCGACGCAGTGGTTTATGTTATAAGTCTATGCAGCATAGTTATAATTAATGTGATGACACTGATTTATTTTAGCGTACATTCGTCGACGTCCTGGTTTGTATTTTATATCGACACTTTGATGTATTGCTTTTGTTAACGTCGTTGTATATATCTTATTAACACTGTGATGTGTTTTTTTTTGTGTATTTTTTTTATTTTCAGATTTATTTTCAATACAGTTTAGTCTTACATGTTTGTTTACATGCTCATTTTTGCTCATATCTTTCATACCAAAACAAAGTTTATGTATAATAATACTCAAGCTTGTATCATCATGTATATAATGCAACCTATTGATATTTGATATACATGGAATATATAGATATCTACTGTATTGATATCAAGAGAAAAAAGGAAAACAAAGAAAAGTGAAAAACAAAAAGACAAAGGAAGAAAGAAGCATTGAGACAGAAAAAAAGGAAGAAAGTTACAGAGAAAAAAAACTAGACGTAAAGAAACAGAAGAAGAGCAGTATATTGTAGAAGGCAATTGAACACAGACTACGTGTACCAGGTGTTATACTGTTATTTTGTCCTCCCACAAAGAATGGTTTGGAAAAAGGAGGAGAATGATGGCAGCAAGAGAGAATAAAAAGATGATTTTTTTAAGAAATAGAAAGAGGAAGAAGAAAGACAAATAGCACTGCCAGTGCATAAGGTCGTTAATATATTTGAACCTATTGTTAACTTGCACACCCATTTTTTTCTTATTACTTCATTGTACATATGGTGTACATGTACATGTATAAAGTTGCCCAAATAGTACTTTTGAACTTTTCTCCCTCTTTTTAATATGAATATAACAGACATACGAGAACGGAAATGGGTTATTACTGCAATATATTGTATAAGTCTTGGTTTATCTATAGTGGCGGAATATGTTTTTGGTGTTTATGACCCTCCGTACTTCCACTGTGCGCTAAATACCAAGTTATGTCCTCGACCTTCATCTCTCCAGACTTGTTTACATTTCACATTCCCATAGTTTGAATCACGAATCATTACGAGAGAGACATTTTTAGCCGGTAAACAAAAATGTCCCAGCAGCTCAGCGAATACATATTTAATTGATATTATGATTAATAATCTCTAATTTTATATACAACATGTTTTTGCCAGAAATCAAACTCCCGCAAATGTCACTTATATGCCAAATGGTAATTGTCCCTGAATGTCCCGTCTGGACGAAGATAGTTCCAAAGGTTTTAAATACACATTGTACAATAATAACAAAAACACGATTCGTAATTAGAGAAGAGAAGGTTTATGACACATAATTATTCACCAACATTGGTTGCTGCATATGTTTTCATCTCCCGTTGTTTTGTTGAGTGTGCTGAAGTCTGGTAGTGATTACAGGCTGATTG